TTGACTCACGTCTCACAGTTCAGCGTTCTCTTCCCTTACGAATTGGAAACGTCCCTCGAAATGATATTGGATTTGAATTTGTATGTCCGGTGACACAATCTCCAGTAAGGGCAGATTAGCCCAATACTTAGACAATTGGAAGCTAATAACATCAGACGAGTGGGTCCTGTCTGTAGTGAGCAGGGGTTTATTCTTCCGTGGCACAAGCAGCCTCCAGTGACTTGAGGGTCGTCGGTTTTGTCTTCAAGGCCAGCGTTTGGCGGGGAAAAACTTAGCAATACATCAGCTACTCGAGAAACGGCAATCATAGAACTTCCTCCAGGGGATCAGACATGCAGGTTTTATTCACCGGTATTCCTAGTCCACAAGAAAGATTCGGACGAAATGCGCATGATAATAGACTTGAAAGTGTTGAAATCGCCATTTTGAGGAAACCGCCAAAGTTCAGGATGGAATCAATTGCAAACCTACGCACCTTGATTCATCAGGATTCCAAGTTTATAAGTATCCTTTATCTAAAGGATGCATATCTTCATATCCCTCTTCATCCAAGATCTCGCAAATACCTAAGATTTGAGGTGAACGGTCGCAGGTTTTCAGTTCAGGATGCTGCCATTCGGGATATCTCTAGCGCCGTGGTTGTTCACGAAAATAACTCTCCCGATTCTGTCTTTTCTTCATCAACGAAGGATTGCGATACACAGCTATCTGGACGATTTCTTGGCTAGGAATGTGGTGACAGCGGTTCTCATGTAAAACAACAACTTTATAATCCACATGTTTACACATCTGGTCCAATAGTTCATCCTACCAAGTCAGAACTGGTCCGTTCTTGGAGAATCAAGTTTCTGGGAGCAATCTTGGACCCAAGAGCAGGCTGTATTTATACTTCTCTAGGATCGTTGGGTGGAAATATCAACCAAGATAACCAATATGTTACAGACGCCAACTGCATCAGTTTGTTCATAGATGTCCGAAGGGAGATATTATGGTGGACGGTGGACGTGAATGTTTTGCCAGGAGTTTCATTACGTCCTCGTTTACTGGATCTGACACTTTATTCGGATGCCTCGAACACGGGTTGGGGTGCAACATGGACATTTGGCAAACTCAAGGGTGTGTGGAATCTGTCAGAGGTGAATCTGCATATAGACTGTCGGTAGATGTTAGCACTGTTGAAAGAGATTCGCTGTTTGGGAATTGCTTTGTACGGGAAGAGTCTCATGTTAGTGTCAGACAATTCTACGGTAGTGGCATACATGAACAAACAGGGAGGTACCAAATCTCAACAGCCTTCGGGATCACTCAGGATCTGTATCGCAGTGGACGCTATAAATTGTTTAATCAGAGCGCACATTCCAGGTCGGAAGAATATTCTACTGATTCATTATCTCAACAGGACAGAGTGATCTTGACCGAATGGAAGAGGCATTTCGATTTGATAGCACACAGAAGCGGGGAAATCCCCCAACATAGATTTATTTGCGACTTCCAGGAATTTTCGGATACCAACGTTTGTGAGTCCAGTACCGGATCCATTGGCATGGGCAGTCGACACCTCTATCCATATCATGGAGGATGATAGCCTATGCGTTTCTTCCGTTCAAACTAATTCCAGAGGTTCTGTTTAAAAATTCAACAACACGACTGTCTAGTTTATCTAGTGGCACCAGCGTGGCCTTGCCAGACCTTGGTTTCCCACCCTACTGCAACTATTGGTGGACAAACCTCTACGTTGTCTTCCGTTGTGGCACAACCTGATCAGTCAACCCAAGTCCAAGTGTGTTGACCTGCGATCTACATCTTTTAGGAAGGATGACGCAGTGAGAGATGGTGCCTGGGACTGTCTGAGGGTCCACTCGGAAGGATGATGGATGGATACTGGTCAAGGGCCAGCATGTAGCAAGACAAGTTGACATGGTAAGAGAATTTACATTTAGATATATATATCACCTAACCGAGCAATAATAATATGGACAGAGTTCTAACTTCTGGAGCTATGGTCATGGCTTCACGTTAGAATATGATTATGAGCTCAAGGTGGTTACCTAAGGTTGAGTTGAACACAATTATAGTCCAATGATAGTTAACCGGAGGTGAAGTCATCAACAGGAAGTGACGTCATAATTACCGGAAGTGACGTCATAAGTTTAAGGAATATTAGGTTTAATGACACAATTCGTGATCTCGAATAGAATCATATTATATTCATAGGAACTGCAAGCATAATCCGGATTTAGGAGTTAGGAATTATATAATCTCTACTAATAATGGATTAGGGATAATCATGGTATCTATCATATCAACCATAACTATAGGAAGTTAGAAGACTCTCCATCTCTGGGAATGTATTCCCTCACTGCTACTGACCAAACTGAGATAAATTATTTATCTCTGACTAAGCCAATAGTTATTCTTAGGAGGTTGAGTAATCGACCCTTCAGTTAGTGGTATAGAGGGTAGTATCTTCCAGGGGTAACCCTCCTTCCTTACTTGGGATTCAGGCTACCGTAATCCAGAGGAATCAATTTTACGTTATAATTAGGAACAATTACATGTAGGTTTTGTTAGTAAACTTACTCCTCTGGATTATGGGAGTAGTTCCACCCTGTGTCCTCCATGAATTTATCCTTAGAAGATGTCATTGATGTGTTGTTTTTCAGAAAAAAATTATGAAGGGTTCTAGGAGACAAATACAAGGACGTCAGTGGATCAAGGAGATAACTCAGGGTAGATTAGGCATACCATTAGGAATAGCTATGACTTAGTGTTAAAATGTCTTTGATTTTCTGTATGTATCTCCTGTGAATCCACAGGAATAAGGCTTACCATAATCCAGAGGTAAGTTTACTAACAATTACTAACAATACATGTAATTGTTCCTATTTCAGAGTTATTTCTAAAGGAGAATACGAACGAAAACAACACTTTGATATATTGTAAAGGATATTCTAAAAGTCACATTCTGTGATTAAATTTGAACAAAACGTTTGTAAAATAGCAATAAAACAAAACGCAATTTCGTATTTCCGCCTATTACGGAAACATCACCTGACAGTTAATGAGCAGAGGGGTATCACGTGACATGACGTCATAAGTGCCTGTTGCTGATGGCTTCCCTATTTGATTTTACCTCACAACTTAACAGTGTCCGTGGATTCTGAAGCAGTAAAAGATGTTCCTGATGTCATTTCTGAAATGGATGTTAGACCGTATCAAATACGATCCGATTTTTACATCTTGCAAGACAATCTTCCACTGAATATGAAGAAGAAGAATCAAGCGAAACGGAGGCACCCTCTTGAGGTAAAAATAAATTTTAAAATAGACCATATCATTAACAAGATTATTTATTTGTCAGCAATGTGATGACTACAGTTCCAGCCAGCAAACACACCTCCCTATAAATATATATGACCAGTCACTAATATGTTTCCGGTAAAAAGTGTGGATTACAGTTCATTTTGTGTGAAATGGGTGACTGTAGGGTGCCTGGGATTTAAAAACAAAACGTAATTTCATGCTTCAGACGAGGGAAATAAAAAATTACCTGCTTCCAAAAAATTAAACTGGAATTATTTTGTTGAAAACAATTAGAACTTGGGGTTCTCATTAATAAAGTATCAAGTCAGAGAAACATTTTCAAGCCTCATGTGAAATCTCTTACCGATTTTGATAATATATATCTCATAAAATTAGTCGAACTGCCCCAGCTACAAATGCCCCTGTTGTGGGCCTGGTCAATCTCGTCTCCACTATAGTGGTACTTTCAGAGTATCTGGAGCAAAATCTGAGTAGGTAAATTAGTTTCTCTTCAAATGATCATGAAGCTACCTACACAAAAGCATTTACTTTTAAGGACATTTACCCGAGTATGTTAAATTTAATCTTATCTTATAAAGTTTCATTAAGCTAATACTCCAAAAGCATTCCGTTTACATAGCAAATCAGTAAATAGCTAGGGTTAATCCATCTCTAATTCAGACAGGGGAGTATGGTCTGTTTTCTTTGTTAATTACCTCCCTCCACCGTCTCATAACTGGGGAGTCTCACAATTGGAAGTTCTGCCACAAATGGGTGGTGACCGTGGGAATCTTTTCTTCAGCATTTTTTTTCTTCAGGATTATTTGATGATGTTATGTGGTTTTATGAGTTGGCAAATAAGAGTGAGTGAGTGAGTTTAGCCTTTACGTCGCTATTCCAGCAATATCAATAGCAAGTCATTTAAAGGAATTTGTGGGTGCATGATCGAACGCTTTAACTTCACTAGGTCTACTCCCACCGCCCTAGAAAATAAGATGTTTATGCCAAAATGTGTATAGTCTTACAAGCACATCAGATTTAAATTCAAAAAAAATATAGCACCTGCCAATAGTTGCAAAAATTGCTGATGGGTTGTTAACAATGCTCACTGGCTAACTTTTTCAGATAATGCCTTCACTCAAATCACAAAAATATGTTTTTATTCTTTTTTTCAGATTGATCCAAATGAGGTGGAGATATACAGGAACAATATAACTACAACAATGTCCAACTCAACGACAGAGCTATCAACTCCTATGGGCCAGTTAATGACACAACATTGAACTCTTCATCAATCAAAACCACCGTGACCCCTTCTTGAACCTGACTGACACAACTAGCTGAATTGTTGTGAAGGACCATCAGAGTCCGTTTGGGGAAGTGCTACACATGGGAAGACGCCCAACACACAGCATTCCAGTTGGCCAATCTGTGCATGGCCATCTCATTCCTGACTCCCAAGCAGCTTCCAGTATCATGTGTTCTTCCTCCGATGTCTTCCTCCCTTGTGGGATCGTGTGTTCTTCTCCTCCTCTGGGCAGGTTGTTTGTGTGCATGCTGGATATTCTTGTATGGAATGCCATATTTGTGGCAGTGAACCTTGGACATATTGGCTATTTGACCTATGTGGAATTTCCCCTGTGAAAATGCATGATCAAAATGGAAGACATATATTCAAAACTGTTCCGGCCTCAAAAATGTCGAGGCAAGAGTTTGCTCTGATATGTAAACTTGGTACCATGATGACGGTACCGAAAGGTAGCATATACGCAGTGGAGGGAATTACACAAATCGGGATAAAGTCTCCATATTAGTCAAAGGAAAGTAAGTAAGGCATCACCTTGAAGAGTGTCATTCTTTTCTCTTGTTCATGTTCTGTGTATTGTTTCTGACCATTGACTTTCCATTTTCGCAAAGAAGGATATTAGCTGTTAGCCAGGTAGTCAATCCATATGCTAGCTCTGCAACAGAACCCTATGAAGATCCCAGTTAGAAGTGGTCTTCAGCAACCCATGTTTTCTTGTAATGAGATGACCAATTCAGCTCATTGTGAAGATCAATTCTCATGATGCTAATCACTGGATTGTGTGATCTATTTACATATCACTCTCAAATAAGTGGGAATATTGGTGGAAATTGCAAGCATTAGTCAAGGAAGAAACAGAAACATATATGGTTTGGCATAGGCAGGTGAGGTGAGGTGAAATTGGGTTTTACGTCGTGCTTGAGAATATTTCTCGCCCATATGACGACGTGCAGGCGTGTATGTGTATGTGTGGCTGCTTGTACTCAGCCCAGACTTAAGCTGGTTTTATAGTGCTAGCCCACTGAGATACCATACCGCAGTGAAGCATGAATACCCCACTCAAACACATTATACTGACTTCCGAGCCGACCAGTCCCTTGTTGTACCCATTAATGCCGAGCGCCAGGCAGTGACCAACAAGTACCATATTTTAACGTCTTTGGTATGACGCGGTCGGGGATCGAACCCACGACCTTCCGCTCTCCCGGCGGACGCTCTAACCACTACACCACGGAGGCGGTCGGCATAGGCAGGGGATATACCTGGCTCAGAAAAAGATATGAGACAAAAAATCTTACATGAGATAAGCGATATCGCGGCCCAAGTCAATCCCTGATATTAGGCCTTGTTAATGCTTTCTGGTGGGCAGTTTAATAATAATGAAAAAGTCATCTCGTATAGCGCACAGTTTCCAAACACCAAGTGGATTGCTCGCGGCACCTCTAGTTTAGTAGATCCATATATTTGAAGTTGTACATTGTCACTAAGTTGCCATTTCTTGTCAATGAAAAATGTATACACATGGAAACAAATATTGCAACAATCTATACATTTCTACAGTCTCAATACCATTAACATAAGCAAAGGAAGGTTAAAAATCATAGGTGTTGCGAAATCTTTTTCTCATGTGCATAACTCTATTGGCCAGTTAGGCTAATCATTTTCAGACCTGCCCCTGAATGTTATACATTGTTTCAGGTTGTGTTACCTATGGAGATTCTACCTGCACCACATTGAGGCCAATGAGTTTGTAGATTCTCCAGAGTGTGACTCTGCTGTTCCATACATGTAGAAACAGATGAAAATACCAGGTGAGTGAAAGAATGATGAAAATTACATCAAGCATGGAACTGAATACACTTCGAAGCATGTATAAAATAGTTCATAAATAAATGAAATGAGTAACAGAAGTTACTTCCTCAAAATGTTATGTATACTCACCCATCAAAAGTTAAGACTCACCTTAAGCACTCATTATATGTGTTATATATATATATATATATATATATATATATATATATATATATATATATATACTGAAAGCCATTAAAAAATGCAATTTGACATTCATACTTTCTTTACTCACACTAATTTCAACATATATAAACCTAACTGGCAGATATGTTTTGGGTGAACATTCAGTGAATAATTTCATCTGAAAATGTCCAGTCAGCAACAACATCAGTGATGCAGCAAACGACATCACACAAAGGGGAGGGTCACTTGCAGTCAATATCGTATGTGCCCATCGTGCGCTGCAAGACATGCTCGCAGTCTTTGGGGCATTGAAAGACACATTATTACTAAGGAACAGCTGTTGATGGTCTGCAGCCCTGATGGTCTGTGGTCTGATCATGACACCACCCTCCAAAACGATTTCCTCATGTTCAAGGACACAGTTTGGCGCAAGTCTTTCTCCTTTACGTCGATAAATCTGTTGACGTCCATCTGCAAAGGATAAGTTAAACCTGGATTCATCTGAAAAAATGACATCTGGCCATGTCCTGTTGGGCAAAGATTGGTTCCCCATTTGCCGCCCATCGCTGTCTGTCAAGTCTGTGGCGATGCAATAAGGTTGACCACGGTACGGGTGACGACACCGTATGTTGAAGGCAAGGCGTCCTTGCACCATTTGGGCGCTGAAATGACGTTGACTTGTTCCAATTGTCCTCCTTGCCTAATCATCAGTTGTTTGGAACCGATTTCCAGCAAGTGTGAAACTCGGATATTAAAAGGTTTTGTCGAGCTGTTATTACAGGTGGTGCATTAAGGTCATCGCGGACGATCAGCAACACTTCCGGTAGCCCGAAAAACGTTGTCTGAGCCGTCTTACAGTGGATGGATGCACATTAAAGTGCCTGGCAATCATCACATCTGGAAGCACCTTTTGGCTGACCATATACCGATAACCTGATTCCTTTTCGTCTTGTGTCAAGTGTGGCATTTTCTCAAAGTGATTGAGTTCCACAATTCCTTGTCCTTTACATGGGCCTGGGTGCAGGTGTAATGCATGTGCACAACGTGTTTCATGAATGTGGTTGTGTTTTACGAGAAATGTCAAAGGTTCAGTTTTAAGTATCAAAGTTCATGTGGAGAGGAATGCCTGGGACTCGAACTCGAAATGGTCCAGAATAACAGCCTTTTAAACCCTACATCCTCTGTATCGCAGGAAAAAAATCTTCAATAGAACTTTTTGTAAGTTTCAGGACAACAAATACCAATTGCGCTTTTAATGGCTTTCAGTAATATATATATATGGTTACACTGGAAGATGAATTTCTCCACTAACATGGGGGAACCAACTGCAAACTTATGTAGATGAATTGTATGAGGATCATGCATTAATTCGCTAAAAGCATATGCAAATATCGTTCATGTGAACAGCTGCGTTTTTTAATGTGAAATTTTGTTAAGAATTCGCCAATTTTCACTGATTTTCATCATTTACTGAAGTCATGATACAATAATCTTTTCAATGTTATGAATTTGTTTTAAAATGCATTAGTTCATGTATTAACAGTACCTTTAAACTGAAAAGAAAATTTTGCAATATCCAGTTTAGAACAGTTGACTGAAGTAAGTAGCTACATTTACACTAGCGAGTCTAAACGTTTGATGGGTAGTATATATGGCAATTGCTTGTACCACAGAAACCCCCTGTCAGTGGAATAAACTTGAATATCATGCTAAACTCTCCCCGTAATGTCATGATGTAATTGCTGAAAAAATGAGGGTGTTAAATCACAATTTACTCATTCTCCCACTCACTTCAAGCCCAGTTGTTCAGAGTTGCATCCCTCAGTTATGCCAGGATCTGCTGATTGAGGAGATTTTGAAATGCGTGCATCATGGTGATTATTGTACTTGGTTTGTCAGTACAATATATTTTGGGGTAGATCAACTTGATAAATATTGTCTAACTGCATTCCAAATTGTTATATTCAGCGACATATCCCTGAGATACTGTGTATGAAAGTCACTCACTCACAGGAATCATTCATTTGTATAAGTTCATATGTATTGTATCTAGGCAATCTACTCAATTACAATCAAGAATAGATTTTCAGTAATCTGTTCTTGCTGTAGTGGTCGATGAGGTGAGACTTGGTGACTGGGCTCATCGTGCAACCATGGATCATTGGACATGCTGTTAGTGATTGGTTTGTTTATTTACAGGCTGTCAAGATGTAACATCTATTGCGAGATATTAAAAGTTTTGAGACTTAAATCCAAGAAATGGAAATAAAATTTGGTTATTCCCTGCACCAAGATTATTTGACAGTAGTTTTCAGTGACAACAAGCTGCAGAGTGTACCCATGAAGTCTGCCACTAAATGTTTCCACTGTCTGCTTTGTATCTGTAAAATATTCTGGACAAAACCTAAAAAAACATATATTTTCCATTTTGTGAAAATATATTAAACGCAGAACGTTGCTGAGTGAAGTATAATACAAAATCCATTTGACCTTCAGGTAACAATATCCGCATCAGAAGAGAGTCGCATCCTGACCTGGCACTGCCCAACCCTACAGGAGGCCTGGACAAGGACACCTACCTAGCCACAGCATTCCACTACATCCTGGGCAAGGACATCAGCCACAAGCTGTACCAGATCCAGGAGCTCCTGCTGTCCAGCCCAGACTACATGAGGACACTGGCCAGCAGACAGTCGTCCATGGTCAACTCTGAGGAACAGCCTGGTCACACAGGACTCCTGCCTTAGCCCTTACCAAGCTCAACAACATTCATATGAGTAAGAAGTGTGTTAAGTAGTGTTAGGTGTTGTGTTGCTGCAAAGTTTGTTTGTTGTTTAACACCGCACTCAGCAATATTTCAGCTATATGGCAGTGGGCTGTAAATTATTGGGTCAGGACAATCCAGTTATCAACATCATGAGCATCAGTTTGATACGATGACATGTGTCAACAAAGTCAGTGAGCCTGACCATGGTGACAAGCATGGGTTGCTGAAGATCAATTCTAACCCAGATCTTCACGGGTCACTTCCACGAATCACAGATGTGACAACAGTAATCAGCTTCACACATTTGGTCAAGGTACAGGCTGTCATGGGAGTGTCTGTAGCGTGATGTAAGAAAGAAACTAACAAACCACCTTGAATTATGTCCACAGTGATATCTCCTTGCAAATTGTACAATACAATCCCTCGTCTTCCGCTGAAACGGTTCCTTTGTTTGTAAAAGTAAATACAGTAGTGAAAATCATGTAAATGGATAAATAAAAATCTGTAATGACACCTGGCATTCCTGAAGAGGGGATGCCTGGTTTGCACGTTCACTCCCATAATTTGCATAAGATGCTCCGGAATAGTGTATTTGTGTATCACACATTTTCATTTCAAGAAGAAAAGTATTTCTTATGATATCCCAGAATCCTCACTGAATAATGACCCTTTTCTATGTTAAGTAAAATCTGTTATGCTTTGAGCAATGTTTTTGTTTAATCTGACCAGACAACACTGATAATGATCACAATGCACATATATCTCAAAATGTATTCTTTATGATCCAGTCATCTTTACTGAATACTGTTAACATACACTTTTGCCAACAATGTTATTGGTCCTGGTGTGTTTGTTGTTTAGTGTTACATTATTCAAGCAACATCCCAGCTATGTTACAGATATCCTGATAGTTACAGAGTCTGGATCAGTGATTGATATAACGAGCATCAATCCATTGTGGTACTGTGATAAATATTAAAGAGAGCCACTGACTGACCACCTTATCTGGTATGGCACCTCAGGGGTGGAAATAACTTTAAAAAGTATACTCCGGTACAGTGGCACATGTAAAATCACTTGCACTGATAATTTTTCCACTATACCGGCCGTTTTCTTGTTGATTTTTTAAAATAAACAACATAATTAATATTGGAAAGTCAACTGGACACCGGTACAGTGTGATATACAAATTTGTTTGCCCAACAGAAAAAAACCCACTGGACTCGGGCATCGGGCAATGGGTTATTTCCACCCGTGCACCTCTAACAACGGAGCATTGGTCCCTTGACCCCTAAGATAACCTGTTATCACCACCTTATATATATATACACGCCAAAGTAAGTTTGAAAACAATTTGCTACAAGATGGAAAATGGCTATATGGTAATTTACTTGTTATTGGTAATAAGGACTTGTTGTTTTTGTTTTTTCAGTTTTTGTATAAATATCTTGTCTTATTCTGTTACAGGTGGAGGCCTCACCATAGCTTCAGTTGGTGCTGCTTTGAAAGCAAAGAAGGCTGAAAGACAAGACACCATTGAAACCAGTGTTTGACAGTAGCTCACACTCATGTAACCTCAGTATCAGAGAAGATAGGATGTCATTGACATGAGAATGCCTCTGTCATAAGTGTAGACTAGTGATGTTATTGCAAGTGATATTTGGTAATGCTAGAGACAACCTTCAGTCAACCAATCATCATCTTGATGACTTGCCAGTGTCTTCAGTATGTGCCTGTATTTGACAAGTGGCTGCATCTCTGACAAACACTCTAACCTAGCCACTGATAACTGCGTTTGACAAATGTGCTCACTCTTAGACATGACACATTTGACAATAATTCTACAGAGACAGTTATGGATGGACATTACTATCAGTGTTTGAGAGATCATCCTTACCAATATCTTTTGGGTGCATAGTCTTTGTACTACACTGTGATATGTCATCTGAGGATGGACTGACATCATTGCCTCCTCAAAACATGTAGCATTTCTTCTTGATATGACCCCAACCCCTTTCTCTAATAAAAGAACAGTCTCTGTCATCAGTGCTGAAAGACAAATGGTCAAGATATTGTAGTTAACCTAACACTCGCCTATTAAGGCCTGTGCTTTGTTGTCCATACACTACATTGGTATCTATGCTTAAGGTCACACTCAAAAGATTGGTCAACTTTCACACTGATATTGGACAGATAACTATCAAAGATGTTGACACTGACTAGAAGTGATTATAAGATGTTTGGACAGACCTCTGCTGAACCTGACATCAATGTTTGAGTGACAACGTTTGAAGATGTTGACTTTGACCAGAAATTATTTTAAGTTGTTTGGTCTGGTCCTTTGCCATTGATGTTTGACAGACAATTATTGAATATGCTGACAGAATGTATTGTGTCTCGACAGGTCACTAAACATTGACATTAAGATAACTAAAGGTATTGGAATCGATCAGACAGTGACATTGATGTTTAAAAGACAACCATTATTGTCTTTGAACAGAAGTGGTTGCCTGCCATGTTTGGTAGACAGTGAAATCAATGGTATAATAGTCTTCAACACATAGACTGAGATATCAGGAAAAGTATTATTGACAGGAGAGCACTTGTTTACAATGAAAGTGTCTTTTGCAACAGTATTGTTTTAGTGTCATAGATGCAAGTGATATTCAAAGACAAACAGCAAGAAACAATGAAACTGTGGACATATACTGTGTAAGCATCAATCATATCAAAAGGATACCTATCCTTGTTATGCAGACACATGCAACTAGTACCAGATCAGCATCATTCAAAAATAAACATGGAACCTGCAGGACAATCATTTCTGCTGGAAGTGAAAGTGCTCATTTAATTTTCAGGAAAAGCATCGATCTGTGAACTGTGAAGGTGTGTGGTTGCTTGACTATTCTTGCAGTCACTTATAAACCGTTATGTTTAAAAATTAAAGTGTAAGGCAAAGAAAAACCATTGCAAAGTATACAAAAAAGTATACAAGCTTGTTTGATTGTGGAAGAAATGGTTATTTGATGGTGATGTATCTGTATGAATGTTGCAGTTAACTTTTCCAGCATTGGTTTTCAGCCAATCATCATTTAAATATATGTTTGTATTCTTAAAAGGTTTAGTTTTCAAGTGTATACTCTCTTTTGTCCATCAGTTTATTCTGCTTCAATACAGACAGTAACAGATCATAAATAGCTGGGCCTATCATGTGTGGAGAGAAACCTTTGCTGTCTTACAGTTAAACCATAAGAGTTGGTGTATATTTGCTTTAATTTATGATAGTTACATTTTGTAACTGAGGCTAATATGCATGAATTAATAATACTATAAAAGATCATTATCACTTAAACTACATGGATGCATACTGTGTATGATGCACACATGATGTTTTGTTTATTTTACTGTTCTTTTAAAAAAATGTTCTCATGGAACTGAAGATATGAAAACCAAGAAACAAAACAAATGTGGCCTTACTACTGTCACTTTTAAGGCGACTTACATTCAAATGGTGCAATTTCAGCTCTGCATGCATAGACCTTTGCCTTATTAGAGATGTACCAATGTGATGATCATAAGAACATGATGAATTTGACCCACTGATTTATCTGGACAGAATTAACACAAACAGATTGTCTTTTTCATACAGTGAAACCCTGTTAAATTGGACAGTGCCTCGCCAAGCAAAATTGTTGGAAATAACAATATCTGTTCCAATCACTGAAAAGATATAGTGTCCCTGTTTCAAGTGGATTTTCCATACTGTACTTCTTCAGTGTTTGTGGATTGACAATGTCTTGACTAACATGGTTTTTCTGTATTTCTGAATAATTTAGCATGTGTGTGCTGATTTGTTAAATGTGTTAATGGTTAAACAGGTTGCTAAGTTTTAAATGTGTACAAATATATATATTCTTTACATTGATGTCCAGTGTTGATCATGTGGATGTTATATGGTAGCTTGTTCTTTGTTATTAAAGTTAGGTTATATCTACCTGTAGGTAAGGGTCTGAGTTTTCTGGAACATTTGGAGTAAAGGATTTAATTGTGAAAGACATGAGTGATATAGAAGTGGTTCCACACAAAGATACTGAACATAGCTCAATGAAACAGTTGTTTTTGGTTCCAGTACACCTTGTAGCTAAAGAGTAGTCTGTTAATCTGTAGTACCCTGTGAATGTTTAGAGAAATGTTTGATCTAATATTGCATTTAATCAGATGCCTCGTTTGTATCTACAATTTGTTTGCTTATGATCAGTGTTGGTGCTTTTCAAATTGAGATGGTTTGTTTAAAGCATATTGTGTGTATATTGAAAATTACCATTTCAATTTACATATGAATAGAATGTGTGTAATTAAAGTATGTCAGTATGATCATTATATGGAATACCCTTGTGTTCCAGTAACAAATCATGGTATTAAACATATGCTACAAGAAATTAATTGTAAATGTTGATGTTTTGTTGCTATGACAAAGTATATGTTTCTTGTTAAAGATGGACTTTATACAGAGGTCATATGAGTGTATCAAAGTTTGTCATGTGTGACTAATTAATAATGATTTTATTATTTAGTGGTTGATATTGATTTTATTTCAGTAAATTATCAACAGATAATTCTTTGTTTTACAGTTTGAAACCTGGAAAATATGTACAATGTTGTGACTGCCAACATGAATCTCAGTAATATGGCCAATTTCAATTCTAACTGATTTGGATATACATAATGTCATGTGTAAAAGTTGCAAGCTTCTGGATAAAGTGATTGAACATGTTGTATTTGTTGTTTATGTGAAGGATAAATACTGATACTGATAAACAATCACATTCTTCACAGCGATCCGTAGCCTAGTGGATAAAGCCGCCAAGCTAGTAAACAAAGCGTTACAGGTTCGAAACCAGGCATCGGCACAATACATTGGAAGTTTTCAATAATAATTCAGTGATATCAAGACAAAGTTAAAGCAATCTTCAAAACTTGTGCAAGTAAAATAAGTCAAGGGCGATTCCTCAGAAAATTCCTGGACAGTTTTGGAGAAAATGCCTGGTATTTCTTGAAGAATGCTAGCAAAACTGTGTGTTGAGGTTTACTAAAAGGAGAATCTGGTGAGACAATAGAGTGATGTCACTGGAGGTTTATAATTGCGGGCCGGTGGGATAGCTTAATTATTACAATGTCCGCTTGTCAAGCTGAAGACCCGGTTTATTCCCCACATGGTTACAATGTGTGAAGCCCAATTCTGTATCCCCTGCTGTGATATTCCAGGAATATTGCTAAAAGTGGCATAAAATTTACTCACTCACTTCTTTATTCCCTTTTCTTGCATTTACAGCAGTCCCATGATGAGTGGGTCACAGTACTAATGTCAATGTACCTTTGGACATGTTCAATAGCTCTGAGTAATTGCTCTATCATAGCCAAACCTGAAAGTCATAAATCATCCTGGATGATATTGTCATCTGTTCATGTGGGTTAATAGGTATAATCCTTGTACCTCTTGCTAGCTTAATGAAAAGCAGCGAAAACTCTTTTGATCACAAGGAATCTCTGCTAGGATCCGAGTTGTAGTTATGCCGATTATGTTGATGCAACTGTACAATTCTGTATATGCCATAAGCATACTAGTATTTGTCATGACATATGCTTACCCCTTATCACAAACACATGCAAAGGCAAGTCATTGCTTCACTCATGTGCACCTAGGAACATAGGAATAGCCGCTCAGATTCAGTGCTGACACCAAGTGATTGATTAAACCAATCTAATTTACTCACTCTCGTTCTTCTCCCTATTATTTGACTTTCCTTTGGTTCCTGTTCCATAGATCAGAGTACCTCATACAGGTAATAAACTACTGGTAGTTTAGATTTATTATTCAAAGACACATTTCCATTCAATGACAGGGACCCATGAACAGTTGTATGTAAAGTTGGCGAAACTAGTTTCATCCCTTGTTGATAATTTTCGAGGTGATGTGGGTTTAGGAGTTGTTTGGCATCCCAAGAATATTAACTCTCAGTCAGGACACCACTGCAATACTGGTTACTCTGCTGTTGTCAAAGGTTGTGAATACTTTGATACTTTTGACCATGACAAGGTAGATTCTCTGTGAAAAATAATGTTAACTAAAACAGGACGAGGAATGATATATTATTTATAAAAAAATAATATGTCATGGTTTGTAGGCCTGAACGAAAACATTTAACAGGCATGACAGGTGCTTAGTGTTTAAGGATATTAGCTTTTAATCATTTTCATGATGTGTACACTTCTCAATCATACATGCATTTCGTTGAAAGCTCTATAGGTGTGTTATTGACTTTCTTTCCTGAAAACCATATCAGAAACGCACTTTATAACCTCACTTTGTAGATAAATCTTACTTTAATCCACTTGTATTCCTTGACGCGTGTAGGAAAATGACGGAATATTGAGACTGTATGAGCGCTTCGAGCTCTCTGAAACTTATCTGAGGATGTCACTCCATGTACGGTTTCCTACTTTTGTTTAAGGAATAAGGCGAATGACCCCTCTTTCACTTTCCTTTCGCTTTGTCCACATGAAAGTCACACGACAAAAGACGAACTATTTCATTCATACATTTGTTCATAGACTGACGCCTGTTAAAAGCGTTTGTTAGGAAAAACTAAACTGTCAACTGGAAGGATTTAAAAGAGTGAAAACATTTATACAGCTTTGGGACCTGATGCATGCATTTAGAGGGAAAGGCTTGAATGAGTCCAACCGTATTTTTGTTTTAGCGAATTACGTCTGTTGATGGGCAACGCATATTCAGCGGTATGATATATCAGTGCGTAGAAAGAGCTTGATTCTTGGTAACTATTTCGAAAGAAAAGTGACTGCAACTCAATGGAAACGTGATAAAATAGAAAAATAATGATCCGTTACAAGCCTCGCTCCATATGTTGCGCTTGCCCTACACTGACGCTCTCGCGCAGTATAATCAGGAAACATGGCTGGGGAGTACTGTCTCGAAATGAATTTGCTCCCAAAGCGCACCTACAATACTTCTTCTACATTGAAAATAAGGTTATTGTCTTGTGTGCATTTCCTTGTTTTGACTAAGCAATAACGCGGAAGCCCGCACAGATAACCTGGGTTAATTAGGAGCAGATTTCACATTTTGTCCCATGAAAGAGTTTGTACATAAACTTGCAGCTTATACTTGCAGATTTCAAGTTCCATCCTCAGTAATCATTATTGGTGCAGTGACGACATCATAACTGTTTACCTCCCTGACTTTAACGATTTCAGTGCTCGTGAGAAAGTAATTTCTCCCTCCTGTCACCGAACCCAGATCGTAATAACTGCTGTTATTTTATACAAGGGCCGATCCTGCAACATATACATAAAATCAATAGACAGTACCATCGACACCTTCAGTTGCTTTGACACATCATATTTGACCTTCCGTGACAAGATCTACACTCACAAGCACAGTCTGAAGGGTTCCCTCTATCTCTACTCACCAAAGAAATCTCTAAGATATCAAGAATCAATCTCCTTCCACCCCTCTGTTGACACTGCAAAAGTAGACACGTTCACCTCCACAGGGCATGTCACATCGGAGGACAGCTTCACTTCCCTCATTGATCATCCTGCCCACCTTGTCTCAAAAACCACAAACAAGCAGGCCAAGGAAACACCGCACCAAATCCCATGCTTAACACTTCGCCCATCAGAATCAACATACGCAGCCAAGGCCCTCTCAGACATCCCGCCTCGTGAAGGCTAGCATGAATGTCACCTTTTTCAGCGGCAAGACCCCTCAAAAGTCCCAATACCCTAATCCGATGTAGTCCAGTCAGTCTAATTTGATCTCACACAGACTGCAAAACAAATGTTTGATAAACATTCTGATGCTCAATAGTACTACCTTTATGATTTTAGCTGCACATGATACCGAAATGTAAAAGACAGTAGAAGCTCTGCATCGTGATTATAACGGCAGTTCTCTAATGCAACGCCTACCACTGGCCCAACGGCCAAGTTCCATATTGTTAGAGCCCATCCTCAAAATGGTCACATGTGGCACACTGGTGAAATATCCGGACCTACGTCAGATTCACAGAGAATATCAATGTGTTACATGCTAATATGAATGCTTACCTGCTCATGTTAGGAAAGAAACCCAACATGTGTGGAGCATTAAGCAGCAAGCATGGATTTGACCATGAAATTATTTGATTGCTATCATAGACCATTCAATTTGTCTTGTACTGCAAGGAGCTTCTTTCAGGAAACTTAAAAATTATTCTCATTCAAAGCACTTAGCTAAAGAATTTTCCAGAAAGGTTCCAACGGAGGAAATCGTGACGGATGAAAGAAAAGAACTTGTCTATATTGATAATCCTGGGAAGAGGTCTACTTAGGTGCAGTAAATCATGACTAATCCGAATACGAAGTGGTGGAATTCGTTCAGCATTTTGTTCCGGGGTTTGAGAGAATCCAAACAATTTAGTAATATACCGAAGAGGGAACGCTCCTCAACTCCTACACATGGGCTTTCGCTTAGAGGGGCCCCAAAGGCTTCTTTTCCGTTAACATTTTGTATAATATTCCAAACTTTGGACATATGAGTTTTTGAATAGCTGACAACTCATAAGCACAAACCTTTGTCACAGTATTATAAACGTTTTTTCATACATTGTGTCTTCTTTGCTATACTCAGTGAAGCCAAGTGAAGTGTAGCCAATGTCTCCTATCAGATGAAGGCATCATTTGCTCACAGCATGCTGCTGAGGTGAACCTTTTGGGTCGTGTCTACAAGGTGTGCAATGATGGCGTATAGCTGTTCTCGTTGTCATTACCTTTTGTGACATCTACCCGAAATCCTTGAGTTATCACCATGTACTTTTCAAGGGAGATTTTTTTGCTCTTACCCCAGTAGGCTTTGTTTTGCCATGACAAATTTCTTAAGATTTAATATATTATGTATGATGTTGAATTTTGTTTGGGAAAAATCCAGTCATAATCCAGAAAAAATATGCAGTCAAAGCAACATTCTGTTTATTGTGAGAACATTGATTATTTGTAATACAAAAATGTTAGTTAAATGACATACATCTCTATTTGGACAATCATATTATCAAGCATTTCATGTGGAAGGTTCATCCGATTAATTGGCCATCTCATTGCCATCCAGTTATGTTATTGTAAAGGTCCACTATGCAGCTGTCAATCATTTAATGTCATTTTGAAGGGGGCATCCCGTTATCAACTAATGTTTACATTATGAAGGCCCACCCCATGATAAATCATATGGTTATGTCCATGCTAAAAACTGTACTTATGCCAACCGTTATGTCAGGGCGAAGACCCATGCCCACTGACATGGCATCTGGTTGACAGGGATTGGAGGGATTGTGATACTGATTCCTTTTGGTGAAGCATTCTGCCAGGAGAAAGAGCCTTCAGTGTAGCCAAGGAGGCTGACTTTCATTCCAGTTTTTGGCAAAGCTGATCCAAGGATGAGTTGACCTGGTTGTGGCCAGTTGAGCACAATGGCGTACACCGTCCCAGCTCTCTGTGTGTACCTGCAGAGAGAAGACACCGTGAAAATTACAAGAAACAATATGACTGTATGTATTCACTACACCAAAATCCGAGTGTAGTTGTGTCATTCGGGGCCTGACGAAGTGGTGTGGAATATATGAAGTACCTACCAAACTCCTGGTGTGACTGTGTCATTCTGGACCGTCCAAGGTGTGGAGGAGTAGATAGCCTCCCCATTCACCTTCAGCCAGTCTCCCAACTGTCGCAGTCTCTCCTCAAAGATTGGACTAATCATGCCATATTTGGTTGGACTGACATTGATTGCCAGGTTCCCTCCACAGCTGAAATGATACAAATCAACCTTGAAAAAATAAGCCTCACCCACTACCGAGGTATTTGAGATTGTTTATAATTGTTATGATGCTTATATTTATGCGGGGCACAGGGTGCTGGTTCTCTTACCTGCGTGTAATCAGTGTGCCGGGCTGCATCCACATCAGAATCCTATCCCAAACTCACTCAATGACTGATATATACAGAGAAGCAACGAAAACGCAATCAGCATTTTCTATCGTGTAATAGTCCCATAAGAAATAATAAAGTTATTAGTTAATGAAAATCATAACTTAGCATGATAACGGTCTAATGTCATTGTGTGTAAAGACAGGTAAGGCTCTGTGCACAACGTCATGAGCAAACTCCAGAACACAGCTTTAAGTGTCAGTCTGCCATGACATGCATTTTGATACTGCATTTAATCAGTCCATGATTGTCCCCTATAAAACACAGTTTGATTTGACATTGACACCAATATGAACCATGACACGGTTAACGCTAGATCAGAGACATCAACCATTGGAATGCTGCGAGCTGGCATTTCCCAGACCGATGTCGCACCACATGTTAACGTGCATCCATCAACTGTTAGTCGGCTCATAAGGCGCTACCAAGTCACTGGCAGGGCGGAGGACCGGTCACGCCCTGGCATTCAACATGTGACCACGGCACATCAGGACTGCTACATCGTCGTGCAACACCCCCGAGATCGATTCCAGAGAGCTACACAGACTGCCAACAACACCAAGGCCAGATCTTAACTCATCTTCATCGACTTAACGACAGCGATGCGCTGCAGCAGGTAGTTTCCTGGTCAATGTCGGTTGGAGGAATGTTGTTTTTTCCCGATGAGTCTCGCTTTAAGGTCTCTTTCCCAGATGGACGCCAAAGTGTTTATCGACGTCAAGGTGACCGTTTTGTGCGACCCTGTGTTATTGAGAGAGGTCGTTTTGGTGGAGGAGTAATGGTTTGGGGCAACATAAATGCTCATTTTCTTTCATAGCTTGTTATTGTGAAGGCAACTTGACGGCGCGGCGTAACGTCGAGACTGTTCTCCAGCCAGTTCTTCTTCCTATCTTGAGACAACATAGAGGTAACCAACTTGTCTTTCAGCATGACAATGCTCGTCCACACACAGCCATCCTGACACGGAATTTTCTTAGGAACAACAACATTGTGGAAGTCACGCAGTGGCCCTCCAGGTCACCAGACGTGAATCCAATACAGCACCTGTGGGACGAACTTGGTAGGCGTGTGAAACATCAGCAGATTCCACCCCGCAATGTTGCTGAGTTCACGCAGGCACTGTAAAATCACTGGAACGCTGTTCCGAATAATTTGATCTGTCGTTTGTGTCATTCCATGTCAAGACATTTGCCAGGTACTGACAGTCTGCTCAGGCAGTCAGGTGTAAATGTGTTGAAACTGGTGATAGTGGACACTGGTTTGGTCAGAAATTCTCTACTGTGATTGGACTTTGCTAACATACATATCATATGCTTTGTAATTTTCCTTTGTTAATAAGTTAACCTTTGAAAATGGAATTGCGTTTTCGTTGCCTCTCAGTATATATTTATGTAAGTACACACCTGACTATTTGAACCAGCCGTGCTATAATCTCATCCATGGTCAGATAATCTTCTAGGACAGCCTCTCGACGAAATCCCCACGATTTCTTGTCAATTGTTAATCCTCCCTCCCACTTCCTTGGCTGAAGTACTCCTATAACATTCAGAATCAGCTGTACTCTTAGTGTTCATGTAGTCATAATCACAATACTTTTGATAATCAGGGAACCGGAGGTGGGGTGAGGTGAAATAGGGTTTAACGTTGTACTTAAGAATATTTCGCTCATATGACGACGTGCATGCGTCTGTATGTGTGGCTGCTTGTACTAGGCCAGACTTAAGCTGGTTTTATAGTGCTAGCTCACTGACATACCATGCCGCTGTTTAGCATGAATACCCAACTCATTATACTGACTCCCAGCCGACCAGTCCTTGTTGTACCCATTAATGCCGAGCGCCAGGCTGGGACCAACAAGTACCATATTTTAACGTATTTGGTATGACGTGGCAGGGGATCGAACCCGCGAACTTACGCTCTCCGGGTAGACGCTCTAACCACTACACCACAGAGTCGGTCATCAGTGAACCGACATCATTTTACAATCATTAACGCCGTTCGATAAAATGTTTCAACTTTAGATGTTTTAGTGTATTTATCAACGAAAATCACAATATATATATACAGTGATACTTTGGGGATTTGACTATCAACTTCTTTATATTTCAAAATTTGACTTTTCAATGTACATCAATTACGTTCCATTTAAGGTCAACCTTGGAAAATTCCACTTTGTATGTGAAATGTCTCTATATAAGAGGAAAAGTGTAGAGGAAGGGGTAGCCCAGTGGTTAATCCCTCATCACACTGAAGGACTATGTTAGATTCAATGCATGGTTTTAACAGGTGAAGCCCCGTGCTTGTGTCCCCGCCAGTGTATTTTCTCATTCATTGCTAAACGAGTGTAAAATCAAACTCACACACCGTCTAATAACACTTTACTTCAGTACCTGGATTGTACCTGTCTGTACACGTCAAGTAGCCCCCATGGTGACATGAGTCCCCTTTCCCCCATCTGTCGTTGACGATAACATTGTCCTTCACTGGGCTGCAAAGAACACATTAAGGAAACTGAGGTTTTTGCCATTGGACACAATAACAAGCACATATTGCCATGAGGGGTAGTACTGTCTTGAAATCCAGTCACCCATGGCAGTTCAAAATGCTCGACGTTTTATTTTAACAACAGAATAAAGAACACACCTTCTGTTTTTGGGACATGTTTTTGCCTTAAATGACATTATTTCTGTATTTACAAAATGCCACATAATGTTGATGTATTACCAATTCAGGAAAACATACCTGTCGTTGTACAGCCAGGCTAAAAACTCCTTGGAACCCCAGTAAGTATCTGGGGCCATCCAGTCACCATCAGACCACAATAGGTCGGGTTTGTAGGTGTTCACAAGCTCGTATAGCTCAGGAATAGTCTTTTGCTGAAAGAGGTTTCATTCTGATGCGTCATGATGTCTTAAATTAATACACATTGTAACACGAATAGATTTAATGAGCAGCTCCTGATACGCTTTGGAAATAGTGAAACTGATACATGCACCATGACTGTCATTGCGACTAATCCATAACAGTTTGGTCCAGAACATATCACGTATGTACTACAGTGTTTTAGGGAGGCAAGCCTTCTACACTTTCCCCAAATAGCCAGTATGGCTTTATACAATTAGCAATATTATAGTGGATTAAAACTTAAAAGAAATTCACATTTTGTATCCAAACTCACAAACTAAATGAGCTTAGCTACAAACTCATCCTGTTAACTCATCTTTCAGCAACCAACTCAAGAAACACCATCATCATCCAAAATGATTGATAAATCAATCCATTATCAACACACACCGTCCACCTACAATTTCCCGAAGCACTCAAAATCACCATGTGGGCAGCAGGTAGCCAAGTTGTTAAAGTGTTTGCTTTGCATACTAAAGTCCTTGGTTCAGGTCTGATACGTCAACCACTCGTTTATGTGCGTAGATCTGATATTGCTGGAAAAGACCACAAGTGGTATAAAGCCAATCACTCGCCAATACTAACACCATATAGCTAACCAGCATCAAGAAGCACTGTCACAACCAACAAACCCTCAATGATACATATAGTAACGCTGACCTCAGCAAACTTGGTGGTTGTGAAGTTGTTGGCCTTGTCCTGTAGATACAGAGGGTGGAACCACTCGTACATAGAGTGGTACAGGCCAAGGTGAATATCTGTTTTTGACTTCAGTGCTTGCGCCATCTCACCTGTTGATAGCATTTCATTTAATTTCAATACTTTTGTTACCAATTACCGACTTAAAATATATATTCACATCATCAAGTACCTTTACCTTGATTTTGAATGGAAAATGAGAGAAAATGAAATTTCAAAAACATGCAGCTTGAAGTCCACAGCTTCCGTTCATAATTGACCGAGGTTTTTGCATTCTGCTTTCCAAACTAAGCACGAAAGGAAAGAAGACAAACTGAGTAATATTATTCTTGCAAAGTATCGGAGATCGTATTTTATGAATTGGAAAACGTGTTGAAGACATATTTAGAAACTAGAATAAATCTATTGTGAACAATCTCAAGTATTGTTTTGAGATTAGAATCAGTCTTAATGTATAATTACCAACAATATCTCTCTTGGGGCCAACCATCATTGAGTTCCAGTTAAAACTGACGTTAGTTGGCCAGTTGCAAAACCCTCCACAATGTTTAGTTATAAAGATAGTGTATCTGAAAAAAAAGTATGAACCGAGATGACGTATAGGATTCATGGCAAACGTATGGAACTATGACATCAGCCTACACTAGTGTTTTCATTAAGAGAACTGGGGAATCCCAAATTATATTTTCAACTCATAATGTAGGAGACAGTGTGCAAAGGGTTTAAAAATACTTCTTGGTCATATGTATATATGATCACATATAATTTAGTTAATATAATCATTCGTCATGTAAAATACACCCGTTTTGTTTGTTGAATCAGTTATCCCAGTAGTCCAGTAAGCAGGTGTATCGTACTCGTTGTTGTAAAGACAATAACATGCAATGAACATGTATATTGCAATGGACAACACTGGAGATACGAAGACACAAGATACACAGACATGAGACAACAATGGACGAAAGAAGAAACAACAATAGGCGCAGAAAGACACAACAGTGAGTGAAGGAAGAGGCGATGGCATTGCCCTGGACATTGGTCTTTTTTAGGAGATAGCAGGCAGGGTCCAGGGAATTATCAGTTAATACTAAAGACATATGTGTTCCTAGGTGAAACATGTTCTCCATTTGTGGATGTTACGTGTGAATTACAGTGGGTGAAATAGTTTAGAATTCCTTAATGGTATGTACAAAATTATTTCACAGTTTTAAAAAAAATTAATATGTTGTCAAAACAAAGCGCTATTCGGTCACTCAGAAGGCATCCACTGGATAGCTGGGATTTACTGCAACATCCAATCTCTCAGTGAATTAATAAAATCATACTTAGCCCCAGAAGCAGCAAACAGTTCAGCCCAAGCTTCAGCATCGTAGAACTCTGCCGTGAAGTCTCTTGCGAAGTCAGCATAGGTGAAGTCAGGTTTATAGTTGTCCTGCATATACTGCACATACATTGGATTTTTGTCCCCTTGCCATCGTTCCCAAAACCACTCGTTTCCAAAACTTGGTACAGAAAAGACTCCCCATGACACAAAGACTCCAATTTTGGCTTCATCATACCATGTTGGTAATGGCCTAGAATCTAGGGACTCCCATGTGGGGTCGTAGCGAATCTCAGTCTGGTCGTAGCGAATCTCAGTCTGCTTCTTGTTTGCTGAACGTCCATCCGCTGTCGTGAAAGCTAAGAATATCAGGACGACCGTCTTTGTGTCCATTGTTGATGAGGGATAGATGTGTTTGTGATCCTGCTGCAAAGTGTGATGGCATTTTAACACGATCTCTTTATGGCCACGAAGTCAAGTACAGCTGATTACATCGCGTGACATATGTTCAAGGTTAAAGATAGGCTGGATGATAATGGATGTACTATTAATGTTTCTATGTGCGTTTTTTTCACCTTGATGTGACAAGAGCTGAGAGGTTTTCTCCACGTTAATTTGCGGTCAAACTGCTGGACTAAGAAAGGTGAAATTTGACATGTGGCCCTATGTCACCATAATTGGTATCATGGATAATTAGTGATATCAAATTACGATTCTTAAGGAATTATGATCTTCTCAGTAAAGCATGAAGTCTGCAGAGTAGAAATTCATTCAGCTTTCTTAATCTTCTGTCATTCTATTCAGTCATTCCATCAGGTTGGGCCAGGAAGAACTGCTCCGGCCAATGTTATGTAAAATTAAGGAGGAAAGAGTAAATATTGGAAGAGGTAGGGTGGCATTTCTGTATGTAGTATGTATCAAGAAATGTTAATAGTTTCATTAGTTGCAAAACCGGATTTAAGAGTTGCTTCCCTTTGCAATATCAGGATTTTCTGAGGCTGTTGATGGTCTCCCACTTCGTCCGAACATTTTAGTTGAAAAGATTATGGGACAGTGACAGTCATTGGTTTTTTGCCGTTGGCGTTATGTCTGCGAGAGGGATCCTACTATCTGCAAGGTACGTTCAAGGCTGCGTTAACTGGCGCATGGGTTCAAGTAGTTCAACAATTAACCTTCCACACCAGATGAAGATTGAAGCTGATACTTCTTCAAAATATTATTTCTCAGTTTGCTGTCTGAGAAAGGTTTGCTGTAAAATCTTTTGCAAAATCGACACCTATCCAATCCTGTCTGTAGTAGTTGTTTTTCCTTAAATCTATATAATTAGCTTCTATCCCAGTTCTCAACACAATCTCTCAGAACTAGCTTGGTGCAGAGAACACTCCCCAGTGGATAAAGATTCCCAGATAAATTTCATCATGTTATGCCATAATCGGGCTGGAATCTAAGGACGCCCATTTGGGTTCATACATTTAGTATTGCTGTTGAGACATAGCTCTGACCCAACAGTTATCATGTATAGATATACTGGTGCAATGTCGGTCAAGATCTGGATTGTTTTCTCTGTGGTCTATATGTGATGTGGCCTTGATGTGGACTGACCTTGTCCTGTAGATACAGAAGGTGGAACTATTCAAACAGGGAGTCGTGACAAGGTGCAGATGTGTCCTAGATTTCAGTGCTGCAGACATCTCATTCATTGATAACTTTAGGCCTCATATTTGACACTTGGCTTGCAGATTATCCAGTAACCAAATTATTGATATATCGTCTAGAGACTAGAAATTGTTTGTGAAGGATGAGGTCAATAAATATACACAGGTGGGTGACATGTGATACCAATGGTAAAAAACATATCATTTAATGTTTTGAGACTCGTCGTTTTACCCCTTGTGAATAAAAGTTGCAATAATTGCAGGAGGCAAATACAACAACAAGGGATCATGACTCATAGTGGTAACATTGGTAAACATTATGTAGCACTTATCTAAATAGATGACTCGGGGAAAAGTACATAGATATACGCGATGGCAGCAATTGGCTTTTCTTATGCCGTTTTTCAGATGAACAGTACACCCTTCAAGACAATCATATCCCGGTACACGCAGCCAGGATTGTACAGGACACGAAGGTGATAAATAGTCTTTATAGCATGGCACAGACAGGCCTTAAAGTAACTGAAAATATTCGGTACATCCTGAAAAGAGAACTTCAGAGACGGCATGGACTGAACTCAGCTCAGTGTTTGGGGAAAGCAGTTTTAGAGTTGTGGTCTTCTCTCCCTAGGAATTACGTCTAGAGAATTCAGTAGTCTCCTTGCAGAATCACAAAGGTACCGACATGGAAACTATATATCATTCGGTATTCATGTAAATCAGTGCAATTGTCCTTCCTCATTCGAAATACCCAACCATGGTAGCATACTGAAATTTAACGTTTGTATCTCCGTCTTCACTTTTGGCAGTAAAGAGAAGCTCTTGAATCACAGTTAAACCACAATCCCGCTAGCCTCTAACAGTTTATGTAAAGAATGAAGAAAAGATCGCTAACATTAGGTTACATATATCATTTATTGCAAGACAGACGTTCCTTGTTGAAATGAAAGGTATTTATACAATATGTTAATTCACCATTAAACCTCTTTTTCAGATAAAAGAACAAAAAACACAGAAAAAACAAACAAACAAACAAACAAACAAACGTGTACTAGGTACTTATGTTAAGTCTCTCAAAGTATGAAAATTTCATGAGGTTTAGTTTTGAACATTGGTGATCTTGAACACCCATGCCCACTTGCACGGCATAGCGTTTGCAGGAATGGCCGGAATGTTGATGTTGATGCCTTGACCTGCAGCTTTTGTATAGCTGAATGTCCCAGAGTAGCCCAGTAGACTGACCACAGAGTTGGCATTAGGGATAGGTCGGGTCAGCTGGAAGGTCCCTACGTTGGGCCAGCTCATGACGGTTGCATAGATGTCTTTTTCTTGTCCATTTGTCCTTGAGGTGTACCTGAACATGGTTCAACATTGATATTAAATTAAATTAAATTAAATTGCAATTTCAGAAATGTCCTCCACACACCTATCATTGAACATTTTGAAAGCTTGGCTTAGGGCTTGAATGATATACATTTTGAGCAAGAGTTTTATGACATTCATTGAAATGTTCGTAGAAAGAACATGTCTGATAGTAGCTCAAACGTTACAAATGTAGATATCTGTAGGCTGGAAGTGTATAAACTAAACATATATACGGGATAATGCCTGTATATCACTCTACTGAAATTCAATGGTACACCTGAACAAAGGCTAGAACTAGAGTGCAAGTCCAAATGGGGAACTGAATAGGACATCGCTTGGTCCCTGATGCATTAAATTTGGAAATCTGCTCCACATGTTAAGCTTAAAACATTTTGAAAGCTTTTGTGTAACCCTAATCACAATCCTTTTGAGCAGGAGTCGTTTCATTCTTTTGAAATCTTTTTGGGAAGTGCAGGCTCATTTGCACCCCAAGTTGTGAAAGGTAGACACAACAAATCCTTACCATATTTCGGGTATCACAGTTTCATTCTGGTAGGTCCAGGGTCTTGTTTCATATATACCTTCACCATTCACCTTGAGCCACTCGCCCATCTGCTTCAGCCTCTCCTCAAAGATGGGGCTGATTACACCATAGGCAGTTGGTCCAATGTTCATGAGTAGATTACCGTTACAACTGGAACAGAGGAGACGATGATCATCACTTTGGACCACTTAGAGTTATTTGATGGTGAACAGTATGGAAGGTTAATGTCATGTCTCCTAGATGTTGACACAACTGCTTGTATACATCATGTATTGAAATATTACCACATATATAAAGCTGACTGCTCCTATCTCTCATGGAAGAGAGCGAACAAGAATTGTGTAACAATGGTTTGTAGGATTCTTCAAGATAGTGGTTTCCAGAACATTTTCAAGTGAGAGTCGTTTGTAGAATCGTCATCAACCTGATGACAGTGGTTGACAAAAGCTATTTCTGTCTCAGACAGTAGATAAGAAGGATGCAATATACATGTAAGGCAGCCATTATTTGTGTGGAAATTGGTGTACCTGACGGTTCTAGCTAGAGTCTCGATGAGCTCCTCTATGGTCAGGTAGTCTGACAGGGGAGCATTACGTCGGAAGCCCCATGACCTCTTGTCTATTGTCATGGCATTCACCCACTTGTGCTTCTGCAGAACACCTGAAGAGTCAAAGCAGAATACATATATCATCTGTACAAAATGAGGAGCGAGTGTGTAGACTTTGGCTTGCAGTTGTGACAATTGTATAACGACATTCTTCAAAATGTTACGATTTTAGCTGGGAATCCTGCATTTTGTGAATTAATGAGCACCAACACAACAACAATTCTAATTGTTTAGCCCTTAGAAGATGCAGGTTAGAAATGGTCTTCAGCAATGCCTACTTGGTTGGTGCAAGTCATCATATGCCAACTGCACAAGTCAAAGCTCAAGCTGTCAGTCAGTGGATCGTTTGGTCTAGACTTGGTTATGCACAGACCACGATCGTATAGCCAGTATATGTCCTACTTTGCTTTGAGCAACTGCATACAAACCTTTCTTTATACGATAACATTTATTACAAATGGAATATATATTTGTTCCGTACCAGGATTGTATCTGTCTCCACAAGTGTGGACACCCCCATGGGTACAGCTACACCCTATACCCCACCGGTCATTGGTCACCACTTTCTCCTTGATTGGGCTGGAATGTATACGACTTCATTTTGAGATTTGAACACTTAGGTATTGTAGGACATGCAACTCTTGTCAATTGACGTTGTGCTTATATATCTTTCTAACCTTTGCTGAGGATTTGTCAATGCTGACCATGAGCTTGGGAATGACTAGTGAATGAATCTTTTAATAAATATAGGAATACACAAAGGAATATATACTGACGTACAAAAGAAAGTACACACCTGGTGTTTTGGGATTATTTGAAAAGTGTTGTGACTTTGACTGGCAAATTCGCAATTGGGCACGATATCTGTGGTGTTTTGGCAACATATTAGGAAAGTCTGTGACTTATATATATGTCAGTTTAGTAACAAGTGACTGAATCTCCTAAGAAGTGCATGAATCTTGTAACAGGTATATGATTCTTATGAATGATGAGTGGATCGTGTGACGAATCCATGACTCGTTTAGCAAGTGAGTGAATTCTTCCGAAAATAAGAACATAATGATCATTATGTTAGAGTGTTTGTCCAGAGGTTATATACAATGGGCCAATCTAATTTACACCATACAGAACGTATTGACACTAACCTGTCATTGTAGAGCCAGGCCAGAAACTCCCTGGATCCCCAGTAGGTGTCTGGAGCCTCCCAATCTCCATCAGACCACACAAGATCAGGCTCAAAGGTGTTCACAATCTCATACAGCTCAGGCATGATCTTGAACTGCAGTGATAATGTGAATACTAATACTACTGGGATTACAAGTGGAAGTAGTAGGATGACAATTCGAATACGAAAACTTTCTCTTTAGAAGAAGACGATGACGAACTCGTACCACACTTCAAACATTGACTTTTAAATATATATTTTAAAAATACTGAACATAAATACTAAATAGATTTTAGTAGAGTGTACATAAGATTCAGTCAATGTTTAAATTGTGACTCATTCACAGAATATACAGAACAGCGAAATATTTCGGTCATCTGACAAATTGATTGTAACATCTTTCCATTTTCTAAAAGATTGATCCTAAATCTAGTAAGAGTGACTCAGAAATATTACAAAACACTTATCATGCAAGGAATTTTCATTGATTTTCATTTTGTTGTAATTCTATCATTTTAGTCACTGGGTGATACAATTTGGTATGAAAATTGTTTTTTATTATGACAAATTACCTTGGCTAACATTTGTCAATTTGTAAAATGAAAATGTTTACAAAACGGTTAGTGAAATTTTCAGTCTTTTTAGACATTCACTGTAACAATAGGCCAAACATTACGTCAACAAATCTCCTTGTGGTGAAATTGTTCTCTTTGTCCTGGAGATAGAGAGGGTGGAACCACTCGTACAGCACATGGTACAGACCGAACCTTAAGTCCGTCTTGGTGCGGACTGCTTGCGCCAACTCAGCTGAAACAACAGGAAATATGTTTCTCAGGGTTTGGATTCTTTCGTGTGACACTTGATTTATGTATTAAAAATCATTCATTGGACTTTTGACTTTCTATTTTCATACTTTTATACAGCTGTCGTCGTATGTGTATAGTTTGTATAATTCCCTTTGGCAATTAAATCAGTTGGTTTTAAGATTTGGTTCAATCGGAAAACGTACACAAGGATTGAGATAATTCTGATGACAAACCATGGAAGGTGGACGTATTCATTAAATAGTGTTCATTACCAACAATATTCCTTTTGGGCCCAGCAACCATTGAGTTCCAGCTGAAGGACACATTGCTCGGCCAGTGACAGAAACCCTCGCAGTGTTTACTCACGAACACTGTGTACCTAGGAAGGTCACAGCATACAAAGTGAGTGATTATTGCTTTTCACTACAGCATCAGAAATGATTTGCTATCAACATTCAGCACACACACACTGTAATATTGTTGATGTTAGGAGTTAATGAATATATACATTAAATGCATTGTTCATCTTTAAACTATGGTGAAATCGTAGTCATTGTTAATTTTCGTGTGAATTCTTCATTCCAAACTGTGCTATTGCTTTAGCTGAAGTTAAATTACTTCACGGTATATAATCTAGTTTGCATTTATTGAAATCTGCTATGAACAATGGTCCAGATACCGTTCCCTACAGTGACAGTGGTCAAAACATTATTACGGGAACAAGTCACAAAAATTGTTATAACTGATGTACAATCTTTGTTGGGTAAGAACCAATACACACATACAACCTGGTCTGTCAGAAACGATCACCAATCTACATGTTGGAACGCTGTTTTGACTTTTCCGATTGACAGGAAGATGAATATTCCCCCAAAAAGAGATCTATTAATCTCTGAATGAAGTCATTTTACGATGATGACATATAAAACCAGATATTGAGTGCTTTAGCATCAAGAGTTACTCAGAGGTACGATGAACTGTACAAACAATGATGACAAGAAAGGATGACGTCACAGTGGATCAATTTATGCAGATACATTTTATTTCAGATTTATAGATGTATGTGCTGCTTTCCAAATAAGAAAAATATACCTACTTGGCACCTGAAGATTCCAAAATTCTAGCCCACTCGTCAGCATCGAAGAATTCTGCAGTTAGCATTGGAGCAAAATCAGCATACGTCCAATCTGGTCGGAAGTTCTTCTTCATGTAGTCAACAACTTCTGGTACCTTTCGCTTTTCCCAGAGGTACCAGAACCATTCTGAACCAAGACTTGGCACTGAGAATACTCCCCAGTGGATGAAGATACCAAATTTGGCATCGTCATACCATGCAGGAAGTGGTCTTGCATCCAGAGATTCCCACGTGGGCTGATACTGGCCATATACTGAGAGTACTGTAAGTACTGACAGTGTTAGAAGTGGAGTTAGGATTTTGAGAGAAGTCATGTTGCAGTGATTGCCTGTGAGAGTTTCTGTTTGTGGTTGTGCGATTCAGGTATTGTAGTCGCGATGATGCTCGAAAAGATTAGATAGACTGAATCACCTTGACCCTCCAGTAAGGATACCTGGTCTTGTGTCAGGAGTATTTGTTTATCTTGTATCCAGCTCAGTGATAATAGACGTGTCTGAAGTATGTTGCACTTTAAAGTCATGCTGCGATCTGTATATTGACATCCTTGCATATTACTCTATATATTTTGGAGGCCGCCTCCGTGGTGTAGTGGTTAGAGCGTCCGCCCGGAGAGCGGAAGGTCGCGGGTTCGATCCCCGGCCGCGTCATACGAAAAGACGTTAAAATATGGTACTTGTTGGTCCCTGCCTGGCGCTCGGCATTAATGGGTACAACAAGGACTGGTCGGCTCGGAGTCAGTATACTGTGTCTGAGTGGGGTATTCATGCTTTACTGCGGCATGGTATCTCAGTGAGCTAGCATTATAAAACCAGCTTAAGTCTGGGCTAGTACAAGCAGCCGCACATACACATACACATACACACACACATGCACGTCGTCATATGAGCGAAATATTCTCAAGCACGACGTTAAACCCAATTTCACCTCACCTCACCTATATATTTTGGACAGGTTACTGAGGCAGCTCAGTCTAACATGAAGGGCTGGGTGAATGGTTGCTGGCTGCTAATATCCGCGAGTTGGCGCTATGAACGCTTGGAATAGTAGCAATCATAGTTTCGACCATGCGTTTGCATCATCTAGTCAGTTATAACATCTTTAACAAAAAACTGCATATGTCTGGTTGTGCTTGTTCGTCATGAAGTCTACATAATATGTTACTTTCTTTGTTTTCCAGAGCCACTCTAAACCAAACCTTAGGGGGGTGTTGATTTTTCATGGGAACTTAATCATTTTGGACTGCTGGGAAATATTAGAGAGCCGATACACTGCCAACGGCGGTGTTAGACTTTGAGTCATAAAAGGATGAACAGTATATGTCCGTAACATCCATACTGAAACGAAAAGGCAACAAAGGAGATGGGCATGATCCTTTAAGGGAAAATATGTTAAGAAGCGGAGAGAAGAGGTTCACTTAAGCAGACCTCGTCTTGAGCTTTGCGGTTTATGAATAATGACATTTCTGCTGATTATAAAGTTTGTAATCAGCTTGTCATGGTGACTCAATAATTACTGCGTCGACAGAAATATGTATCTCAACGTTCGATAATGGTAGAGTCTCCTAAAGATCTCAACATTGACCTCTTGACTGGACCTTTATTTTCTCCAACTGTCCAATGATGATCAACATGTACTCCTGGCTTACATCAATGCACGTGTGAAGGTTCTTAGTTTACAATACATCTAGGACTTTATCAAGGGCAAGGTGTAAATGGACCGAGTTACCCAAACACGTATACTACCTAAAATGAATGAATCAATTATATATACTGGTTCTTAGAATATTCTCCATTGAATGAAAATTACCAGTTCAGCTTCATCGTACCACGACGGAAAAGCACAGGAATCTAGGAAAGTCCATTTGGGTTCATAGGGACCTATTGAGATTTTTAACAGTGGTGACATTTATTGCTGTAAAGACATGGCCATGTTACTATACGTTTTAATTTTCAGAAATGTCGATGTACCTCGGGTCAAGATCATGATGGTGCTATATGCATTGTTGGCATACAACGGGCTGAACTTGTCCTGTAGACACAGACGAAGCAGCCATTCAGACAGGGGGTGGTACAGGCCAGGGTTCTTTGATTTAGGTCGTTATCAGTTCTAGATATATTGTGTAATCTTTCCAAGGCTATGATGGTGTGTATGTTGACTTTACGTCATGTGGTGATGTACAACTGCAGACAGACTGATTATGCAAGTTTTTTCCTGACACACAGTTAAGTACCATGTACAAATATAAACGCTTGCAACTTTCTCCTCTATTGTCGAAGTCGCAACTTCATTTATATTTTTGGTAATAAAAGTCTGTTCTGTTGAATGAATAAATTCAGAAACATATATCGATTTCCTGTCCTTTATGATTGTACAGATCATGCCTTGGGGTTTTATTGAAAGCTAAGTCTTCTTAGGTTTATAGTTGTACGAAGCATTTTTGCATACTTTATCAGATACTATATCCTGTTATCTGATTTCAGACATGTTTCTAATTACTCTGCAAGGTAGGAATTTTCCGTCATGTTATTAGCTCACTTCGTGTAATACCATGACATTTGATTGGTTAATCAAATTTCCAAAATTAGGCTACTCCCTCTACTGAATTAATAGTCCCTGAAGGGTTGATAACAGCGTCGGTTGGTCTTGTGGTGTGATTCGCTGAATCATATCGCAGATTTCATATCGTTATCTACATATCTTGTATGTGTTAGGTAAGAGAAAGATGAAGGTGTAAGGCTATGCTCCGAAACGTTGTGTTCCTCATAATAAAAAAACTGACATCAGTAAAACTCTCTTCCTTATGTATATCACTTCTAGATGCCATTCAAAGACCTGATTGTATAAGTTATTGATAAAATATGAAGTCTGCAAATCCTTATTATTGAGATATGAGTTCATAAGATTTGAGTATGTTTTTGAGGTTATGGGGTATATGAGGTTTAGCATAATGCAGACTTTAAAGTAAAGCTGGTAGGATGTGCACAGTATGTATACAGGGTTTTTTACGTTTAAACCTCCATAAATGCACAAAAACAGTCACCTCGATTCAGGAATAAATTATGATATTCTCCACGTAGACAAGCTAATAAGCATAACAAGTTGCATCCCATGCCTTCGTTATGATTAATGAGCTTGGACAATCATGAAGAGTCTTGCACAGATAAACAAATGCCAGCACCGGGAGGCACAAATAGAGAACACATTCATTTGCCATTTAATTTGAGTTGGGCACAAATAGTCTTAAGACGCAACTACCATACTATACCACCATGTGAAGTGTAATCACATCAGGTTTCTGAATATTTCATGTGTATATTACTTTAAACCAACATGCAAATCATAAACAGTGATGTATCCATGAACATGTGTTGACACTCCAACCAACCAGATATAGAGATCATAATGTTTTCTTAAGGTAGCATTGATTTCAGTTTCAGAAACATTCGATTTGTAACATTAAAGGTGTAAATTAAATATAATGTGTGTCTTTGTTAAGGATATCCCATTCCCTTGTAAAGGTCCATCCGATTAAATTTGGCAGTCATTGATATTTTTGTCGTGGTCATCCCGTTGTCAACCAATTGTTTTTGTGGAGGCACATCCCGTTGTCAGCTATTAATGTCCTTGCAAAGACCCATCATGTTGTGGACCATTTATGCCATTGCGAAGACCCATTGTGTTAACCACTTTGAATATGTCTACAAGGTGTGCAATGGTTACATGTGCTTTAGAGTATGGTGGCAGCCTAACCACGGATGTAACCTTTTTGAGTATGTCTGCATGGTGTTTGAGGGTGAGATGTGTAGCAGAGCATGGTGTTAGCCCACACCTTGTTGATGGTGTAACCTCTCAGAGTATGTCTGCAATGAGGCCAAGAATGGCGTATAGCTGTTCGTGGTGTCATTACAAACCTTGATGAAATGGTAACCTCTCTCATTAAAATATGTCTGCAAGGCATCAGACCCTGGATCAGACTGTGTGTGGTTCATTTTATTTCTCCTTCTCATGTGTGTCAAAATATTGAAAATATTCATCATTTTCATCATGCATAGTTAGCGTTGTTATCATGTAACACCATCTACCATAAATCAGTGAGTTATAAGCATGCATTTAAAGGGAAATAACCCTTACTCTTACAACACATGTGTTGTCATGTCAGGTGTCTTAAGATTTAAGAGATGTATTAAGTTGGACAAATAAACAAGCAAGAAAATATTGGTTATAATGTTCATATATGCAGTCGAAGTAGCATTCATTTTATTATGAGAACAACAACATTTGTAGCACATGAATTTAAGTTAAATAGCAAACCTTTCTATTTGGAAAATTCCAACGTTAGATATTTGTAAGCAAATTATGTCATTGAAAATGTCCACGATTCAATTGTCAACCATGTATATCATCTCATTGTTTGTCAAGCATTTGTGTCATTGTGTAGGTCCATCCCATTATCAACGATATATATATAACTTGTGTTAATGTTGACCATTTATGTCCTGGCTTGGACAAGGGAGATAATGTCAATTCAAGGGAGATAACCCTTGCTCTTACATGTTTCTGAGATACACATTTAATATGTGTAAGAAGTTGTGAATAAAGAATAGAAATTCTGGTCATAATGTCTGTACATGTATATGCATTTTATTTGTAATACAAAAATGTAAGTCAAGTAGCAAATTCATTTTTGATGGGACTTCTCAATGTCAACTATGTTATGGAAAAGGTCTTCTGTTTACCTGTCAGCAATTTATGTCATTTTACAGGCCCATCCCTTTAATTGTCAACCATTTGTGTCATAATGAAGACACATCCCGTTATTAACCACATGTTTATATCCTTGCAAAGACCCATCCTGCTGTGAACCATTTATATCATTGCGAAGACCCATGCCCACTGACATGGCATCTTGTTGGCAGGGATGGGAGGGATTGTGATGCTGATTCCTTTGGGTGAAGCATTCTGCCAGGAGAAAGAGCCTTCAGTGTAGCCAAGGAGACTGACTTTCATTCCAGTTTTTGGCAAAGCTGATCCAAGGATGAGTTGACCTGGTTGTGGCCAGTTGAGCACAATGGCGTACACCGTCCCCCCTTTCTGTGTGTACCTGAAGAGAGATCACACAATGAAGTATAAAAGAGCACTCAATCTGTCTCAACCTGAGACCAAAGTTGTGACATTTAGAAGCTAACTTCTTTGAGTGGCTTCTTTAGAAGTTCGTCATTTAGAACGTGGCTTCACCTGAATAAAGAATTTGTTCATCCATAAAGTTTCTCCTTATCACATTTAGAAGCTGACAAAGCAGGCAGAAAATGAAAATCAAGCATAATTTATGCAACAACAAACTGAAAACGCTGATTAGGAATGATCTGCTCCAGTTTCACCCACCTTGTAATTTGTTCCACCACATTTGCCATTATAAACACCAAACAAATAACAAAGGCAGGGGGTTGTGTTCACATGAACCCGTCATCGACAAGTTATGTGAAATCTCAGCAGTATACACATGAAGAACCTAGCAAACTCTTGTACTGCCTGTGTGACTCTTTGCTAGCCAAGGTTTTGAACATCTAAAGTATGTGCGAAACTCCCGGTGTGGCTTTCATTCTTTACCAGCCAAAGCACATACAGAGAATACCGACCATAATCCTTTCATGCCTGTGCTATTATAGGCCAAACCCCTGCTGTGACTGTCATTCCTGACCAGCCAAGGTGTGATATATACTGATGTGACTGTGTCATTCTGTGCCACCCAAGGAGTGGAATATGTACAGTACCTACCAAACTCCTGGTGAGTAGTATAGGAAGTGGGAGAAAGACCGACAGAGGAGGAGCCAATGTTAAAGCAATGGGAGAAAAGCCTGTGGTGAGTCTACGTCCACGTTTCCATGTATTTTTAACCACGAAGAAGAAGTACCACATATCGCAAACCAGATTTATGCAAATCCGGGGAAGCTCCAAAATAGACCCCGAGACACAAACAGAGACAACTTCCGACATGGCAGAGGTCTTCGAGACCCTGCTAGGAAAGTGTCCCCCTCTCTTGCTGTCCGACAAAGAGAAACAAATCTTGGAGCAAACAGGACACACCGTCTACGAGCGATACCAGATCCCCCAACAGTCTCTCGATTTGAATTGTATTTGATGTGTTTTCGGCAAAATAGTCCATTTTGTCTACCTGTACCCACCAAACCAATTTCGACCTGCAGCAGGCAAATTCCGACAACTCTACTTGCAAGTGCGGCACCATAGACCACTGCGTTGCCAGCAAGACATGCGTTCTCTGGAAACGTAAAAAGACTATACACCCCCGGAGCGACTCCAACTCGAGGTTCCAGAAAACATCGCGATTGAGAACCTCTATGACGATGACTGCCTCCTCTGGTGCCTGCGATACAAACGCCTCCTCGCAGACGTCCCAGAGGAAAGCTACATGTGCAAAACGTTTGCCGTAGCCAAATACGAAGGGAAGAACAGACTGTTGCTGCTGCTCTATGCCGACTGGAGAAACGATTCCGGTCTATGGCTACAAAATAGGAGAAACGACTCGAGAAGCCGGTTCAATAGAAACTCTACGGTTGGTGGGATGGCCATTACTGTGTAGACTTGGCAAAAAGTCTGCTACTCGCCCATTTCAGAAAGGAAAGACGATCGAAAAGTTGAGTTGGTATTCCCTAGAGAGTCGAAGGAACAGACACCCGTAGAGATTCGTCAGATGAAGCAGACCAAACGGGTATAGCTTCTATCTAGTCCAAAAAAAACCCAGCAACATACAAACATACATACGAAAACACCCGGGTTTGGGAGTTGCTGTCTTTTCATTGGCTTGTGTGTTGGCCGGTGTGCAGTGCTTCCAGGTCTTGTGGACGACTGACCAGACAAAAACGGCGGCTAGCGAAAGGTAAGTACACTTTTGGGCCGATTCTAGCATCTGCCCCGCCTTCTGGATATCCAGACGGGCCTTTTCTTGTTCCTCCTCTATGCTTTCTATTTCCTCGCGGAGTTTGTTGTCGTCGTCGTCCAGCCTAGACAAGATGTCCACCAACATAGTCGTGGTTTCCTCCGCACGAGCTAACAACATAGTCGTGGTTTGCTCGGCACAGGCCTCGGTCTTCTGCAGGCGGTTGTAGAAGTCCTAGATGGGAGCTACCTCCCTAGCGGGCAAGAGGGTGTCGGTCGACGGTTCTGCAGTGGGCAATACAGTTGTGCTGGAGGGCTCTTGCCATAGGTCGTAGAGCCTTTGGACCCGATACCGATCTGCTTTTTGACCGCGGCTGCCGGGAGCACACCAGGAAGGGCGCTGATTTCTTGGACCTGGTCTGGAGACAAATCTCTTTGTGGTGGCATCCTATATTTCCTATATTCTCATATGTCTAAATGAAAATAGGATTTCCCGACATGTCTAGGACTAGGAAATCTATTTTGTCCATATGTCTAGGACTAGCAAACCTAGTTTTCCACATGTCTATACCTATTGGAAAACCGCCATGCCACCAACAGGAGATTTGGTGTATTACCCTGGGCCAAAGTACCTACCAAACTCCTGGTGTGACTGTGTCGTTCTGGGCCACCCAAGGTGTGGAATATACAAAGTACCTACCAAACTCCTGGTGTGACTGTGTCATTCTGGGCCACCCAAAGTGTGGAATACAGAAAGTACCTACCAAACTCCTGGTGTGACTGTGTCATTCTGGGCCACCCAAGGTTTGGAGGAGTAGATAGCCTCTCCATTCAGCTTCAGCCATTCTCCCATCTGACGCAGTCTCTCTTCATAGATTGGACTGATCATGCCATATTTGGTTGGCCCCACATTGATCAGCAAGTTCCCTCCACAGCTGTAAAGGAGAGTAACAGCATGAAACACTATTTGGTAACTGGTATGATCATGATACATGTTAGGTCACAGGTAGGACAGCTTTCTAATTCATTGTGCAGAGTCACATCCCTCACAAAGGTACATAGGTTGATATTTGCCAGCTCTAAGGCATACTATTATCCTGAGGCCTATGGAGATTCCTCTCACAAGCGGATACTCAAAATTAAAACAGTAAGTTCAACCAGAAATCTTCAGATCTTCACCAAACAATGGAAGGTAAGTAACAATAAGAATTCAGGTATATTGCCGAATAAGGTATTCATTCCAGTAAATATTGTATCCTGGTTGCACGACACAATAATCCATTCATGAACCATGTTTGGGCTACTCTGCAGTTCCTGCTAAAATGTCTTGCTGGAAATGCACGTTAGTTCAGTGTAGCTCTTTTACATCAACTTCACTACAGCGGTGACATGGGTTATGGAAGGAGGCACGAAGCACTATATTGTTTCGGGTGTGTTTCTTGTTTGGTTCCGTGCCTAAATACCATCAAAAGCACAGGACGTTGATCATATTATTAACCTCTTGTTTCATGTAGGCCATATATATATTACCGTAGATCAATGCTCATATCGTTGGTTACTGGATTGTCTGGTCCAGAGTCGATTATTTGCAGACCGCCGCCACACAGCTGGAATATTGCTGAATGCAGCGTTAAAAAGAAAGAAAGAAAGAAACAAACAAATCAGTTTACTTACCTCACAGTTTCAGCCAGCACTGCTATAATCTCATCCATCGTCAGAAAGTCATCCAGAACCGCCTCTCGACGGAATCCCCACGATTTCTTGTCAATTGTCATCGCATCCTCCCACTTCCTTGGCTGAAGTACCCCTTTAACATATAAAACATTTAATTGGATTGTCACAGCCCTATTGTTCATGCATGTGCAACAACTTCATTTGATAATCGCTGATCACACAATATTCTGAACCTAAGATATTTCAATGAAATATTTTAACTTTCCGAATATAGTAAATTCTTTGATCAGTTCAGTGATCCCCATCTACGTACACTGATAAATTGATATTGAATTACAAATCCCAGTTAGTGCGTTTAGCGTTACGCCGCTTTTAGCAATATTCCAGCAACATCACGGCGGGGGACACCAGAAATGGGCTTCACACATTGTACCCAAGTGGGGAATCGAACCTGGGTCTTCGGGGGCAATTTCTCATCTTTGACGTTTAATTTCATGTGATCAGTGTTAGTTCCATGTGAGGTAATTATTGGAAGAGATTGACCGTAATTGTATCGTTTCCTACAGTGAGAAGGATGGAGTGTAGCCTTAAGGTTTAAGTGTTCACTAATAACTGAAGACCTGTTTTCGAGTCGTCATATGTGTATAGTGTATTAAACCATTTCCGATGCCCCCAACCATGTTATCACTAAAATCAGGTTGACACTACACATACTTACTAACTCACTCACTATGTTTCGTACCTGGATTGTACCTGTCATGGCATGTCAAGAACCCTCCATGTTCACAATGGTCTCCATCTCCCCATCTGTCATTGGTGACGACTATCTCCTTCACAGGGCTGCAAAGAGAATATATTTAAGAGATGGATTTGTACAAGATGGCTAGGGCTTGTTGCTGTGTTGAGGAGTCTTGTCTTGAGTCCAGCCCATTTGCCATTTGCTGGAATATGTGAATACCACTGCCTATACAAGAATCCAAATATTATATAAGCTATGAATGACATATTTGCAAAATTTCAACAGAACAGACAGACGTTCTATGATCAAGCAGGTCTTCTTAAATTCACTTGCCTAATTTCTTGGAAGATACCAAAAGAGGTCTCTGTTGTTAAATCCATTGACACTGTGCAGCTAGATAAATGTATGTACATGTACAACAAGTACTTGTTATAGGTGGTGGTTTATTTGGGCATTTTACGTATCAAATGCTGGTCTGTTGCAGTTACCATAAACATACTGAATGAACATACATTTGTTAAATACTGTCAATGTCATGACGAGAAACCTTTCTACCTTCTAAATATGCCATGAGTGCACCGATTTCCGTTTTTAGTGTATTTACACAAAGACATAGAAGCCAGAGATTCAGAACCTGAGGAAATCTAGACTTGTTTCATGTAAGGCTTTAACATTGCAGGGAGGGCTAGGCTGTAGGGAAAATGATATGGTTCAGGGACTGTGAGACAGACTAACAAAGACACAAAGTAAAAGGGTACAACGCAACCGTATACCTGTCATTGTAGAGCCAGGCCAGAAACTCCCTGGACCCCCAGTAGTTATCTGTTGCCTCCCAGTCTCCATCAGACCAGACAATGTCAGGCTTGTAGGTGTTCACAAGCTCATACAGCTCAGGAATAGTCTTTTCCTGAAATTTATTTGATTATTATGGTACATGATGTCATTGCACGATCAATACGATTACTGTTCTGTTGGTTCAACAAGACAACATTAACAACTTAATTAATGAAGCAGGTCAGGTGACCACATCAGTTGCTTAGATGTATAAAGCTCCATATAACCCAGTAAGTATCAGCTGAGGATGTCTAGTATTGACTTCAGTCCTTCGGAGAGGCAACTTTTACCTTTCCTGAAGGAAAGGGTGTGGGTTTACGTCACTGGCTATGGGATGGCGGGACACAAACACAGACCATCTCTGTCGAAGTGAACTAACCTACCAAACTTACACTTTCATTCGCACTCAAAACCAGCTCCCGAACCTAGGTACTCACGTCCAATTCTCGATAATCCATCAGTGATAAATTTAGTAAAGCTGACCTTAGCAAACCTGGTGGTGGTGTAGTTGTTGGCCTTGTCCTGTAGATACAGAGGGTTGAACCACTCAAACAGGGAGTGATACAGGCCAAGGCGCAGATCTGTCTTTGATCTCAGTGCTTGAGACATCTCACCTTTTATTAACACAAGGACCCATATTTTACACTTGTTTTCAGATCATCTATTATCAAATTTGAAAATATAATATTTCGTTGAAATAAAAAAAATATTTGCATAAATTTGTTTTTGTTCATGTTGATATCAGAAGAATAAATGACCAAATTACACTGCTTCCTTGCCAAATTGATTTACTTCTCTTTGAATTCTTAAAATAATCGATTACTATCTTCATAACATTAAAATAATATTTCAAATTTGCGAAACTTTGTTTCGACAAAACTGAAGAGGATGATATAAAAACCTAAACGAGTTAAACTATTACAAAATCTAAAATTAATAATTTTGAACAATGAAATATTGTTCAGGTTGAAATAAGTTTTAACGTATAATTACCAACAAGGTCTCTCTTGGGACCAACCATCATTGAGTTCCAGTTAAAACTGACATTAGTCGCCCAGTTACAAAACCCTCCATGATGTTTAGTTATAAACACAATGTATCTGAAAAAACACGACTGAACATGGGGTGATTCATGATTGAGTATTGAGTAGAGGTCATGGCTAAAATATGAAACACATTGCCCCTTTAATCATTACTGCCAGGAATGTTTCATTAGGGATTGTTTGACAACCTGAAATGATACATTCACATTGTACTCAATGCCAAACGTTTCTTAGAATCGCCTCACGATGTGCATGTACTGGGTGTGTTTTGATCACACATATTCTGCATATTACTGAATAAACGTTTTTAAGCAGGTTCATTTATCTTTTTCTGTGTGAGGATTTAATCATCCTAGCCCTTTGATCCAAAGGTTTTGTAGAAACATATCCATGTCGATGTGTGTTACGCAGACACTCACTCGCCGATTCACTCACCAAATAACGTACACTCTCATCACTCTCATGTCACCCACTAACTCGGGCTGCCATGAAGCTATTATGAGATTATTGGCGGTGGGGTAGCATAGTGGTCAAAGCGTTCGCTCGTCACGCCGAATACCTGGGTTCTATTCCCTACATGGGTACAATATGTAAAGGCCATTTCGTGATATTGCTGGAATATTGCTAAAAGCGGCGTAAAACTATACTCACTCACTCGCTACTAAGAGATTAATTACTGCTGCAATTACAACATACACGTTCTCAGTGAATAAATGTCAACATACTTAGCTCCAGAAGCCGCAAACAGTTCAGCCCAAGCTTCAGCATCATAAAACTCTGCCGTGAAGTCACTTGCAAAGGCAGCATAGGTGAAGTCAGGTTTATAGTTGTCCTGCATATACTGAACATATTTTGGATTTTTGTCCCCTTGCCATCCTTCCCAAAACCACTCGTTTCCAAAACTTGGTACAGAAAAGACTCCCCATGACACAAAGACTCCAATTTTGGCTTCATCATACCATGTTGGTAATGGCCTTGAATCTAGGGACTCCCATGTGGGGTCGTAGCGAATCTCAGTCTGCTTCTTGTTTGCTGAACGTCCATCTGCTGTCGTTAAAGCTAGGAATATCAGGACGACCGTCTTTGTGTCCATTATTGATGAAGGATGGATGTGTCTGTGATCCTATGCCAAGTGCGATGACACTTTAACACGATCTCTCTATAGACACAAACGAAGTCAAGCACAGCTGATTACATCGAATGACATATGTTAAAGGTTAAAGATCGGCTGGATGATAATGGATGTTTCCATGTCCGTTTTTTTCACCTTGATTTGACAAGAGCCGTAAGATTGTCTCCACGTTAATTTGCGTTAAGAGTGCTGAACTAAGAAAGGTGAAATTTGACATGTTTCTCGCTATGTCACCATAATTGGTATCAAGGATAATTAGTCACTTCTATTTTATATATTTATTGCTTATACACCTGCAGAAATCACTATATATATATATAAATATATATATAGAGATAGATACCCCCCTCTTCATGTTCCATTTATGCTTGACAACGGTACAAGAATCTGTATCGAAACGTCGCACTCACGAATAAATAAAGTTGTGATCCATAAAGTTTGTTCTATATCATATCAAAGAAATTTAAATTCTTAAGAATTATGATCTTCTCAGTAAAGCATGAAGTCTGCAAAGTAGAAATTCGTTCAGCTCTCTTAATCTCCGGCCAATGTTATGCAAACTTCAGGAGAAAGAAGTACCCATTGGAAGAGGTAAAGTGGCATACGTGTGTGTAGTATGTAACAATAAATGATAATAGTTTCATCAGTTTCATTCTTTTTATGCAAATGTTGTAAAACCATTTTTAAGAGTTGCTTCCCTTTGCAATGAAAGGATTTGCTGAGGCTGTTGATGGTCTCCCCCTTCGTTCCATAATTTTAGTGACAGTCATTGATTTTTGCCGTCGGCGTTATATCTGCTAGAGGGATCTTACTATCTGCAAGGTACGTTCAAGGCTGCGTTGACTGGTGTATGGGTTCAAGTAGTTCAACATTTAACCATACACACCAGATGAAGATTGAAGCTGATACGAAAGTCAGTGCATACGTCTTCAAAATAATTTCTCAGCTTTGTTAGACTCACAAGTCTGTCTGCGAATGGTTGGAATACTAGTTAATAATAAATTCTTCTTTAAAACTTTTGTAAAATCTGTCCAATCCTGTCTGTAGTAGTTGTTCTTCCTTAAGTCTATATAATTAGCATGTTTCTTTCCCAGTTCTCAACACAATCTGTCAGAACTAGCTTGGTGCTGAGAACAAGGGATGAAGATTCCCAGATAAATTTCATCATGTTATGTCGTAATCGGGCTGGAATCTAAAGGTGCCCAGTTGGGTTGATAGCTAACTTCTAAATGTACCTGGTTTTGTTACGCACTCGATCAAATAGTTACACGGGTGATCAGGAAAACTGTATGGGATAGAGGGGTGGCGTTTGCAACAGTGGTAACATTTATTATGGATGTTGAGACATAGCTCTGACCCAACAGTTATCAACTACAGATATGTTGTTGTAATGTCGGTCAAGATCTTGATTGTTTTCTCTGTGATCTATGTGTTATGTGGCCTTGATGTGGGCTGACCTTGTCCTGTAGAAGGTGGAACAATTCAAACAGGGATTGGCGACAAGGTGCAGATGTGTCTTAGATTTCAGTGCTTCAGACATCTCATCCATTGATAACATTAGTCCTCATATTTGATACTTGGCTTGCAGATAATCCATTAACAAAATTGTTGAAATATCGTCTGGAGACTAGAAATTGTTTGTGAATGATGAGGTCAATAAATGCACACAGGTGACATGGACCCGTGAAGATCCGGGGTAGAATAGGTCTTCAGCAACCCATGCTTGCCACAAAAGGCGACTATGCTTGTCGTAAAAGGCGACTAACGGAGCGGGTGGTCAGGCTCGCTGACTTGGTTGACACATGTCATCGGTTCCCAATTGCGCAGATCGATGCTCATGCTGTTGATCACTGGACTGTCCGGTCCAGACTCGATTATTTACAGACCGCCGCCATATAGCTGGAATATTGCTGAGTGCGGCAACTCACTCACTCACAGGTGACATGTTATGCCAATGGTACAAAACATCATATCATTTAATGTTTTGAGACTCGCCGTTTTACGCCTTGTGAAAACAGTTCATAGCTGCAATAATTTCACGAGTCAAATACAACATTATGTTGCACTTATCAAGTTGCCAGTGTCGATGGTGGCATTAATGGTCAAAAGTATATAGATGTACACGATGACAACAATTTGCCGTTTGTTTCGGCCGTTTTGCCGGTGTACAGTACACCCTGCAAGACAGTCATATCCCGTACACCCTCCCAGGATTGTGCAGGACAGAACGGTGATAAATAGTCCATATAGCATGGCACATTCAGGCCTTAATGTAACTGACTGTGTTTGGTAAATCCTAAAAAGAGATCTTCAGAGACGGCATGGACTGAACTCAGCTCAGGGTTTGGCAAAAGCGGTCTTAGAGATGTGATCTTCTCGCCCTAGGAATTACGTATGGAAACCATATATCATTAGGTATTTAGGTAAATCAGTGCAATTGTCACTCCTCATTCGAAATTCCCAACAGTGATAGCATGCTGAAATTTACCGTTTGTCTCCGTCTTCACTTTTGGCACTAAAGAGAAGCTGTTGCAGATCCCCATAGAAGAACTGAATCACAGTTAAACCATGATTTCGCTAACCTCTAACATTTAATCTAAAGATCGCCAACATTAGGTTACATATATCATTTATTGCAAGACAGACGTTCCTTGGTGAAAGGGAACGTATTTATACAATATGTTAATACCATTAAACCTCTTTTTAAAGACAAAACAAAAACACAGACAAAACCCAAACAAACGTGTACTAAGTACTTATGTTAAATCTCTCCAAGTATGAAAATTTAATGAGGCTTAGTTTTGAACATTGGTGATCTTGAACACCCATGCCCACTTGCACGGCATAGCGTTTGCAGGAATGGCCGGAATGTTGATGTTGATGCCTTGACCTGCAGCTTTTGTGTAGCTGAATGTTCCAGAGTAGCCCAGTAGACTGACCACAGAGTTGGCATTAGGGATAGGTCGGATCAGCTGGAAGGTCCCTACGTTGGGCCAGCTCATGACGGTTGCGTAGATGTCTTTTTCTTGTCCATTTGTCCTTGAGGTGTACCTGAACATGGTTCAACATTGAAGCTAAAGCAACAAGACCCCTTCCATTCTCATAAGACATCTGTGCATTGTTGATTGTACTATTCTGACCCTATCATGAGCACTGAAAATGCATCACGAATGAATAGTAGGAATACCTGGTGTTCGCAACCATGGCATATGTCACAACATATACAGTTATTCAAAACAGCAAAACATGTTTTACAAGTGAAAAATAAGGTACTACATTGGACATCATTTCTGATCACCTGAATCATAACCTGACCACAATGCTGTCGTTTAATTTTCTTTATAGCTAAAATGGATAGAATTATCATTAAAACGCCCGCACGTTATTAGAAATGAGCGGGCCACTGTAACTTGATAATGCCCACAAAATGCTTGACGACGGGCCATTATCAAGCCCGTTGTTAGTTGACGTCATAAGTAGCTCAGCTGTTGATGTTCAATCACCTACGGCTCGTTTGAACTTGGGTTCATTATTGACCATATTTCTGACTCACATTCGTCACATGTACCTGTGCCAAATATGCACTTTCTTGCCGGTGCCAACCATAACAATTGTACCATAAATTACAACATACAGCAATGATAACATCGACTGGGAACTCTAACGTTATTGAGCACTGAAAAAAAAATGGCGGCTGGTAGTATGGGCAAAGGTCAAGGTCGAATGTCGTCACTCTCAATAGTGACGTCGTCTGTTTTGTTCTATGACGTTTCCATATTTGTAAAAAGTGTGTTCGTGACCTCCGTCGTTTGCTGTTAGCAGTAAATGCTTCAAAACCAATGCCGTTGTTTTATTCTTATTTTATTAGAAATTCTATCCATTTTAGCTATAATAACGGTAAAGCTATTTTTCAGGGCATTATCATTTGCAGAAGACCTCGGTCTTTTCAACTGCCCTCCTTCGTCGGGCAGTTAATGAAAGACCTAGGGCTTCTACAAATGATAATGCCCTGAAAAATAGTGTTACCCTTATATTGAAATCAGTGTGGAAAGCTCGGTTGTACCCCAAGTTGTGTAATGAATACAGCAAATGCTTACCATATTTCGGGAATCACAGTTTCATTCTGGTAGGTCCAGGGTCTTGTTTCATAGATGCCTTCACCATTCACCTTGAGCCACTCGCCCATCTGCTTCAGCCTCTCCTCATATATGGGGCTGACCACACCATAGGCAGTTGGTCCAATGTTCATGAGTAGATTACCGTTACAACTGGAACAGAAGAGACAATGATCAGGACAACTTAGGATTGTTTGATCGTGAACAGCATGGAAGGTTAATGTTATGTCTCCAAGATATTGCCACAACTGCATGTATACATCATGTATTGAAATATTACCACATGTATAAAGCTGACTGCTCATAATTCTCATGGAAGACAACGGCTTCAAGAACAGGAATTATGTGACAATGCTGAAATGGTATATAGGATTCTTCAAGATAGTGGTTTCCTGAACATTTTAAAATGACAATCGTTTGTAAGATCGCTCAAGATCATCAGTTATGAGCAGCCCCATGACAATGGTTGACAAAAACTATTTCTGTCTCGCATAATTCATAAGAAGGACGAAATATCCATATACTGCAACCATTATTGGTGTGGAAGCTGGTTTACCTGACAGTTTTAGCTAGAGTTTCAATGAGTTCCTCTATGGTCAGGTAGTCTGATAGGGGAGCATTACGTCGGAAGCCCCATGACCTCTTGTCTATTGTCATAGCATTCACCCACTTGTGCTTCTGAAGAACACCTGCAACATCAGCCAAATCAGAATGCATTATCACCTGTATACAATGAGAGCTAATAGAGTTTGGCTTGCAGTTAGGTTGGTCTAAGGTTATAAGACAGTAACTTAATGTACATGTATAACTACATTTGCACCTTCTTATTCTTTCTAATTCAGATATGACTCGGAATGCTGCTTTCTAATAAGGTGAGGGAATGAGAGGCTAAACCATAGCAAATAGCTTCACGAC